GCTTTGTATGCATCAGACTTCCACCGCCCTAAGTCCTTTATCCTCTCTGCCGAGAGCCCCATGTGGACTGCCGTGGTTGCTGCCCCGATCCGGAAAGAGTGAGCCGCGAACTCGCCCGCGGGCAGCCCGGATGCTGCCAACGCCAAGCGCATCACCCGTGTAAACTGATGCCTAGCCAAAAGTGATCCATCAGCGTGGATTAACAGAGGGCCGGGGCCATTGGGTCTTAGGTAGAGGAAACGCCGCAGATCCCTCACTGGACAAGGGCCACTCGCTCGTGTGGCAGGCAACCGCAATAGGGCCCCCCTGCCCCGTTGGTCCGTCTTTGAGCTCCGAACTTGAATTATTAGTTCGGACTCGGAAAGGGTCAGATCGCTTAATTGGATACCTCTCTGCCCTTGGGCAGCCCTTCCCTCACAGACTACCTCACCAATGCGCAGTGCACCAAAGAAGGCTATGGAATAGGCAGCAGAGAATAGGCGAGCTTCGTACTTAGACCAGCATATTTCACGTAATTTTTTGTGTATCTGGACCAGAATATCAAAAGTTATGGGCCGCCTGTTGTCAGCGCTAGGGGGGTGCTGGCGACGCCAACCCTCCAAAGTCTTACGCACTATAAACTGTGCACACGGGTCGGTGGCAAAAAATGCTTTACAGAAATAGGAAATCCCAGCGGACTGAATGTTGAGAGTCTTAGGTGCCCTGCCCAGCTCCTTCAAGTGTGTTAGGTAGCGGAGGACCTCCCTAGTTGAAGGAATCGAATTCCGCCTAGAGCTGGGCATTTTGCCGCGAAACTTTAGAAAGTCGGCCCAAGCCTTGGAGTAAGATCTCATTGTGGAGGGGGCAACTGCACCGAATACTCCCTTCATCACTTCCTGTTCCCAAGGCTCCAGAGATGCTCCGGGAAAGACATCGATGATTGCTCCGCGTCCGGGGCTAGTGAGCGGAAGCGGTCCATCTGGAAACGAGACAGAGCATCCGCAATGTCATTTTTACTACCAGGCACGAATTTGGCAGAAAAATAAATATTCTGTTCTAGGCAAAGGAGGACGAAGGACCTTAACAAATTTCCTACCCTGGTGGAGCGCGCGGACTGTCTAGAAAGGACCCCTACTACGGCCTGGTTGTCAGTGTTAAAACAGACCCTGTGATTGCGGAACTGCTCGGCCCAAAGATGCACAGCTACGACGATAGGGAAAAATTCCAGGAAAGTAAGGTCCCGAGTAATGGGCTGACCCCGCCAGTCTGCTGGCCATTTTTTGGCACACCACTGACCCCTGAAATAAACTCCAAAACCCAATGAACCTGCTGCGTCCGAGTGGACTTGGAAATCGGCACCGAGTGCCAAGGAATCCTGCCACAGGGATATGCCGTTGTACTTATCGAGGAATTGGAGCCATATACCAAGGTCAGCCTTGACTTCTTTGGAGAGGCGCACCCTGTGTTGAGGGGCCCTAAGACCCGCAGCCAGTCTGGCCAGACGACCACAAAAGGGGCGTCCCGGGGACACCACCCTGCAAGCGAAATTCAAGTGTCCCATCAGGGATTGAATTTGCCTAAGGGTAACTTTCCTTAGCGGCAGAAGCTGTTTTATCAACGCTTTTAGCGCATCCAATTTATTTCTGGGCAGTCTAGACGTCTGTGCGACGGTGTCTAATTCGATGCCTAGATAGACCAAGGACGTGGTTGGACCCTCTGTTTTATCGGCGGCTAACGGGACACCTAACTCCCCGGCCAGGGCTGTGAAGGCCTCCAGGAGGGCGGAACATCGCTGTTCGTCTTCTGCCACTAAAATGAAATCATCCAAGTAATGCGACACGCCCGACGAACCGGTCCTAAAGCGTAAAGCCCAATCAAGGAACGTACTGAAGGACTCAAAGGCAGAGCAAGCCACGGAGCAGCCCATAGGCATCGCCTTGTCAATGAAATACGCCCCCTCGAATCTAAATCCCAGCCAACGGAAGTCGGATGGGTGGACAGGGAGGAGGCGGAATGCCGACTCGATGTCACATTTAGCTAGGAGCGCCCCTTTTCCAAATCTGCGAATCATTTTTACTGCTTGGTCAAAGGAGGCGTATTTGACTGTACAAAGCTCGGGGGGAATCGCGTCATTGACTGAACCTCCCCTTGGGTAAGAGAGATTGTGTATCATCCGGAACTCCCCCGGGGTCTTTTTAGGTACGATACCCAGGGGGGATAAGTGAAGACCCTCCAAGGGGGGCTTGGCGAAAGGGCCAGCTACCCGACCTGCCCTGATTTCTTTCTCAATCTTTTTTCTGACTATCTCGGGCCTTTCCCTAACTGATTTTTGATTTTGCGGATCCCCAGTGTTGGGTGGAAAGGCAACTGGGATTCTGAAACCCTCTGAAAACCCCTCCCACAGGTATCGCGCGGCCTTGCGGTTAGTATATTGGTCGAGCAGGACTTTGAGGGGCTGGAGACGAACTGGGGAGAAGGCCAGACCAAGATGTAGGTTACTGGTGGTTGCCAGGTCCCTGGTGGGAAGATCCGGGGGAACCTCTATTGCTGTTGTGGAAGTACCCCCTGCCACCCCGAAAGGGCTGCTGTTTGTTCTTAAAGCACGAGGAGGCGGGGTGATTACCCCAGCACCTGTCGCATTCATGCAAATACTTACAGGAGGGTCTGGAGCATACACCCCTGTTGAACTCCCAGCAGAGGCGACGCCGCTTCACCTCTGTCTTACCCACCTTGATCGATCCAGGGGTTTTCTTTTCAATGTAGGGATTAACGTCCTCGCCCCAGTAGTTAGGGTCCGTAAGGTCCCATCGGGTGGTGGGTAGAAGGGAAGCGTTTCTACGGAAATTCTCATCATATGTTAAAGCGGCATGCTCACCCGCGAGCGAGTGAGCCCGCCTCACATGAGCTAAGTAGGCAACCAAATCCATGGATCTCCGAGGATAAGCAGCGCAAACGACGCCCATAAAAACCTGGTACCCATCCAGCCAGTTCTCAAAGGTTCGCTCAGCCCTAGGGGTCCTGTATCTACCTTTTCCCGAAGAACGCCTCTTTTCACCTTTTCCTATCAGTTTAGCGGGAGGGAGCAGGGTAAACATGTCCACATAATCACCATTGAGGATCTTATTCCTCTTCTTCTGTGACAAATGATTCCCTAATATAAAATCGGTGGACTGGTTTGTGGCAACCTTTACATCCTCAACCAAGGCACCATCCTTCCAATCCAGTACACCATTGAACGTCTTACGGTGCGAATTGGCCCTCCTTTCATGCGCCCAGAGTGGGATCCCATGATTCCCTTCCCCCAAACCCCAGTAAGCATCCATGGGGTCGTCACTGTCCGAATCCGAAGATGACGTACCTGACTCATCCTCCGTCTCGGACTGCCTGCTTCTCTTCTTCTTGGCGGACGTGTGCTTCTTTTTGGACTTCCGCTTTCCGCCCTGGACTTCAGTGATGGCCGCATTCCCATCGGCCACTGGGTGAGTGACTTGGGGTTCCCTGCGCTCTTCCTCTATGCAGGAACCCTCGCTGTCCTCTGTAGAGCTTTGCCGTGATTGCCGTTCCTGAAACACACTAGGAATGGCTACGGCCTGTGAGGCGACACTGGTTGTTGATCCTTTGGCAGTAGCCTTACCCTTGCCGGGGCCCTTTGCCGGTGTCTTACCTTTTCCCACGCTTTGGTTGGCCCTCCTAGTACTGGCTGCTTGGGCACGAGTATTAGGGCGACTCGTATTGATCGTTTCTGTATGGGCACTGCCCCCAGCTAGCTCTGGCATTACGAGCTGCCCTTGATTGCTAGGAGGGGTGTCTGGTATTACATCCTGAGAGGGGTCGGGGGCAGGAGGTGCAAAGGCCCCAGGCCTACATTGCCTATAGAATGTTTTGAAGGCATGGAAAAATTGAGCAAAGGCCTGCGGGTCACAGGGTATGGCCCCCGCTTGCGCACTACCATTACTTGCGAGAGGTGCCTGCAGATTGCTCGAAGAGGATGCCTGCCGATCCCTTCCAGAAGCCATGACCAACTATACATGAGACCTGAGCGAACTGCGATTACTTTTTGAACAAAATGTCCCTAATGTGCGCCTAAAACTTGCCAAGCGGAACGCTTAGCTCAGTATTGTCTACAACCCTTTCAATAGGGGCTCAGCCCGTCACACGGATCCGAACCGCAGACCCTCTGATTGGCAAGCCCAATAGGCTCAGTGGTTTAGACCACAGCGCCACCCGCTCCCCTAGTTGCTAGCCTTGTTTTGTTATCGCTCTCCCCCCCTTTCCTTTTCTTTTCTCTCTTTATTTTATTTATTTATTTATTTATTTTATTAAGTTATTTATACCCTGTATGAAAATTAAATGCGAGGCTCAGCTAGAATGTAAGCCTGAGAGAAGCTATTGTTACTTATATTTGCTCCCTGAAGAATTGGAATTATTGATTAATTTGTACTATGATATCTTTATATATTTATCTATTTAAATTACTAGTATTTATTTATATTTATTATTAATTATTTATTAATTATTCACTTGGGAGGGGGATCTAATGAATTTAAATCACTGTGTTTTGTTTGCAATGTATTTAATATGTTGTTACTGGAATTATAATAATATTATTATTATGAGTATTATTATTAAAATTATTGCTTCCCCTTTGTAAATGCCAGCAATGAATTGCTATGTTATGAAACAGTATAAAATCAGGCACCCGAAATAATGGCAAATGAAGCAGCAACTATCAGAAATAAGAGGGTTAATGAACTGTTTGTACTTGAGACCCAAGTGAGGCTCACCAAAGTGAGAAAGCGCAGGAGAAGGAAAGAGCGGAACGCAGCAGAAATAAGGCACTATCCCCTCAGCCCTGGCCCAAGACGAAAGCCCTGCTATGTGCAGAGAACAAGCACCGCAAAAGAAGAACCACCGACAGGGGCGCTGAGCTGACCCGCTTGCGAACGGGGCGCAGGCAAAAGGGGAGTATTTCTGCCCTCCCCAGATGGCTGCCTGAGACTGCCTCCGCGACCCTCACCAAAATGGCGCCTGTCCCGCTCAAAATGGCTGCTCGGGCCCGCACGTTGCCCTTACCAAGATGGCGCCCGCTAGCAGGTCTTAAAGGCAGAAAGCCTCACTTAAGATGGCGGACGCCAAGCTCGCACCACGTGGTCGCCCAAAATGGCTGCCGGAAGCAGCGGTTGCCCTGCCGACAAGTAAACAGACCCACAGAAAGATCGCGTTTAACGCTATACTCTAAAACAATCGGCCGGTCCCCGCGACTGAAGGGAAGGTGAGAACGGCCCTCAAAGCAGGAGAAATAGGCACCCGAAGATTATAGCAAAAGGAACGAAGCAGCCCAAACCTCTGACTTCTGTGTTATCCGCGCTCCGAGCTCTGTCCCTCCAAGATCCTCCCTTGAGACCGGGAAGAAGACGCCGAATCCCCAGAGAAAGACCACGTGCTGTGTTGTGCCGCGACAAGCGCGAGTGCTCTATGCCGGTAAGGATCCGCGTCGCTCACACTGTGATGACCGTGGCTCCCGGACAGCAGCGCCAGCCGAGGAACAAAATGAGCCCGGCTCCTTTCTGCGCAGCAGCCGAACAAGCTCTCCTGCAGATAGACCGCTCCCGCTATCTGCCGCACTGTGGAGGAATCTCAGGGACCCAAAGCGAGGTACGGGAATACGAACCACTTAGAAAATATCAGCTCCAAAACGACAAGGTAACCGCTTCAAAAATATCCGCTCAGCTGGCGAGGGGAAAAGAGGGCGGTCCCCGGGCGTGCCTGGCCTTAAGTAGGCAAGGCCACGCCTCCCCGGCCCGCCGATTGGCGGATCGGGTCGCAGGCACGCCCGGGAATTCCCTGGGTCTCGCGGGGGCAGAAGGCCCGCCCCCGCGTGTGTGGGAGGGGGTCGCCCGCAACCCCCTCTCCTCCGAAGTCGGAAATGGCTTTCCCAAACTTAACTGATATGATCATCATAACTACACCATCTTCTTCTGTGGTGTCAATTTTAATTAATTGTCTTGGTACATGTAACTGCCATATTATAATTACCACTAAAATGTGGATTTATAGGGGTAAATTTTGCATACTCTGTGTGCAGAGATATCACACAAGAGACCAATGCATTCTTCCTTGGATATTTGCAGCAATCTTTATTAAATATTTGAGAGTCCTGAGTCACTTCAGTCCTGCGGATTTCAAAGAAGCATAGAATTGTAAAGTCTGAAGGTACCCAAATGCAGGAATCTCAACTAAAGCAACCATTACAGATTTGTCCTTATGTTGCCACAAAGAATCCTTACCTTCCTGAGACAGCCTTCCACATTTATGGAATAAAAAGCTACATCATTAAGAATTAGTCCCAAGGCACTGAACTGCTGCCATTATCATAAACAATGTACTAGCAATAAACTCACTAGGTGATTGGCTTGAGAGGCCTGGAGGCAGCAGCCCCTGAAATAGTTTTATCAGTTAGCCACAGATTTGAGGAGTGGTGCTCTTCTCTTTGACTGCTACCTTCTCACAAATCCCTTGACATGGATTTCCCCATTACCACACAAGACACTACATTGCTAGTTTTATAATTTATAATTCCATTCCATAATTCCATACCCAAAGCAAATTGTTTTATAATTCAAGCAAAATATCAAACCTAACGCAAAATGTTCGGTTTTGAACGTTTCAGGGAAATGAGCCGTTAATCTTGCCTTCATGTAAAACACAGCAGAATGAGGTTCTATGGCATTCCTTGAAGCATGAAAACACAATAATAACAAGGAATAATAACAAGGAAATATTATGCTCCCCAAAAGCATTTCAGGGAATTGGGGAGTGCACCTACTCTACAGATACGAAATTATTTACATCATTTTTACATATGAAATCATTTCAATGGTTTTCTTTATTCAGACAACTAATGGTACAGACTCAGCAGCAGACACAGGAGTAACAATTCAGGAGTTCAAACGCAGGGCAAGAAATTCAGAACTCAACAGAAGCACCCAAGATGTCCCAACAAGTTTCCTCCTTCTCCTGCCAAGCGTCTAAAGATGAGGCATGATGTACTCACTTTCCTTGTGGGAATATCAGGGTTGCAAGTGCCTGCTCTGTCAGTGTGGGTAGACTTTCTCCTGTCTGCAAAGGTGGTTTCTGATTCTGGCCAGCGAGATCGCACCTTTCTCTTCAGGCTCCTCTACATTCGCTGCCATCTCTTGTTCACCCTCAGCCCTCCCCAGCCTCCACTGGGGGCTCTGTAGGAAGGTCAGAGGCAAGAGCATCTTTGCTCCCCCTTCCAAAGTCCAGATGGACAGAGGAGATTCCCCACCTCCTCCAGTTCATTTCCACCATCTGCCTGTTTTTTCTTCTTCCACCAGAGCCTGTCAATCCAAGCACTATCACCACAGCACTGTGAGATCATGACAGTGCTTCCTTTTCTCCTGATTCTCCCACCAGTAAGCTTCATAAGATGACCTCTGCTTCTAAAGTTATGAAAGAGGGAGGAAATCTTATCACTACCCACTGCTGCAGAAGGTGATGGGCTGTCATTCACAGAAGGTGGATGGTGATTGGTCAGGGTTGTGGTAGGAAGGGCAGGATTTAGGTTTGATGAGGCCCTAAGCTACTGAAGGTAATGGGGCCCTTTATATGTCCAGCTATCCTTCGTCAACAACAAATCTCTGTTTTTTGTGTTGAATATATGCTATATGGTAATTTATGGACCTAAAGCCATTTGCACATACAGAATGTAGGCACCCTATATATAGAAATGAGCAAACCAGTGATATTTTAGGGAGCAGGCTAGCAGGTGGGGCCCATTACTTACATCTTAGGAGACTACACAACACAAAACACTGTTGCTGTGTGTAGGTTTTATTTTATTTGTTTTTTATCTTATATTTTGGAAATGTAAATCCAGTTTTTTTCCCTTTAAATTTTTTTGGGGACCCCAAAAGAGTGGGTCCCTAAGCTATAGCTTGTTTAGCTTGTATGTAAATCCGGCACTGGTGGTAGGTGACACCCACACTATCCATTTAAAACACTTTTATACCACTTGAACAGTCATGGCTTCCTTCAAAGATCCTAGGAGCCATAGTTTGTTAAAGGTGCTGGGAATTATAGCTGTTTGGGGTGGGTGGGTGGTAAGCAGCAGTTCCTAGAATTCTTTGAAGGAAGCCATGACTGTTCAAGTAGTATAAATGGATGGTGGTTTAAATGGATAATGTGAGTGTCCTGCATTGTGGATTCTGCACTAAGCAGGGTCTGGATAATATGGCATCTTTCAGCTCCGATTCCACCACATCATACATATTTTTTAGAAATCTCACTCACATTCCCCACCCCCTTGCATGCCTTTCCCTCCTAATTAAAAGGGTCCAGCCCTCTTACCTTTTCCTTTTACTGATCTTCACTAAACGGGTAGGATGCCTGCCTGAATTGAACACTTTTTAACCAGAACTATTACCATTTTAAGGTAACCTTGCCTCGTGCATTGCACAAATCCACACTCTGCTGTTCTACACAAGTGAGTCTGGCTTTGAGATCAAGGGTAGTTTCATGGAGTCTCCTGGCTGGACTCTGGGACTCTCTCCAACTAGACCATTTCTTTGTCCAAGGTGTCAAGGTATTTTTAAAAGTCATCCACTATAATGAATAGCAGTCTTCTGTTCTATCACTGGCAGGCAAACACTTAATCTGGAGTATATTATTTTCTACTCAGTTTGGCATTTATTCTTCCTTTTTAAAAAAAAAACACACAGAAAGAAAATCACATTTGGCCTTTTTAAGAATTCAAATAGCTGTGATGCATAGGGGATAAATGTGTTGCGCTATTGCTTCTTGTAAAAAAATAAAATAAAAATAAATTCTCGGCTTAATACCTCGTTCTTAAGTAGCAATTGCAGATTTAAAATGTATCAAATTGCCAGAAACAATCTGGGGATAAACTTTAATAATAAAAGATTGCTATGGAATACATTATTTGCTCTCTACACTGCTGCTGCATCCAGATTCTGGTATTGGTCTCAGTGGAGTAGAACTAAGCCCCGTGATTTCAAAATAGTACAAAGAAGGAGAGGTCTGGCTTTTTGAACTAGGGAAAGGATGAGGAACCTGTGCCCTCTGGATGTTTCTGTACTAAAACTCCCATGACCATTGGCCATGCTGGCAGTGGCTGTTGGGAGTTGGAGTCCAACAATAGCTGGAGTCTACCATGTTCACTATCCCTGAGCTTGGGGTATGTTTCTCACTAAAGATAGGTGCTATCCTGAGTACATCAGGACAAGCCACTGTGTTTTTGGGGTAGGGATGGATGTGTTCTTGCATGTGTTCATTTATAAGTCTTTTATGTTCCATTTCTCCATTAATATTCTTTTGTTAATTAAAAAAACATGCTTAATCTTACATACATATTCAAACATGTATTTTAGGTCAGTGTAAAAAGGTAAAGGGACCCCTGACCATTAGGTCCAGTCGTGGCCGACTCTGGGGTTGCGGCGCTCATCTCGCTTTATTGGCCAAGGGAGCCGGTGTACAGCTTCCAGGTCATGTGGCCAGTATGACTAAGCCGCTTCTGATGAACCAGAGCAGCGTACAGAAACGCCATTTAACTTCCCACCTATTTATCTACTTGGACTTTGACGTGCTTTCAAACTGCTAGGTTGGCAGGAACAGGGACCGAGCAACGGGAGCTCACCCCATTGTAGGGATTCGAACTGCCGACCTTCTGATCAACAAGTCCTAGGCTCTGTGGTTTAACCCACAGCGCCACCCGTGTACACATCTCTAAACACATCTCTCCTATCACATTTTGTTGTGATCTACAGGGATGACCATCACCAAGGAGGTTGATGGCCTAAGCAAGAGGAAGGCAGCAATTCCTGCTTCCGCAGCAGGCAAGACAGCAAGGCAAAGTGAGGTGACACAAAGTCAGCACCCTGCAGGGAGAACAAGGACCATGGACAGTGTCCCTGCAGGTGAGGCCAAACGTCCAAGTTGTCTCAGCAAAATGCAGGAGTATTTTTATATCAGGACTTGTCTAGGTAGTCATTGGCCAGAGACCCTAACCTCTGAGTGCCACCTCCTGGCTATTTAATTCCCCAAAGCATTCTTCTGTAGCTACTGGCTTCTTCAAGATAGTGTGGTTTCTGGCTATAGGGATATTTCCTCAGGTGTCTCTTGATCCCTAGGTAGGGCTTTCTTTTCCAATTGAACCTTGCTAAGCTCAGGCATGTTCCTTTGGTCTTTGCTTTTCTTTGGCTTGTTCATCAACCTTCCCTCCTAATTTGACTTTTGGTCTTGGCTACCAGCTGGTCCCATGGCTCCTGGTTCCCAGCTCCAGGCTTATTCCAGTTGTCTGCTTATAGCCCATCTCTGACACCTTCATGCCTCTCCAATAAGGAAAGCCCAAGAATTGACTGGTACAAGAATGATCAAGCCTGGACTTTGCAAATAGCAGTAAGATAAGGGTTCCCATTGCGGTGTCTGCAGGCAGCCAGACCTGTCACCTCTCTGTCACCTGCAGGGTCTCTCTCCCCACTAGGTTTGAGATGTGTATATGCTGCCCGTGAGAGATTGTCCAGTTCACAAATGTACCCGCAGGCTCCCCAAAAGTTAGCAGCCCCCTGCACTAAGAGGACAGGCTAAGACTCAAGGCAGTTTCCTTGAGTTTCATTTGCAGAATGTGTATAGAAAGTGCGCCAGCTCTTCAAAACCCAGCAGCCAAGGCTCGCTCACAGTCATGCAAGAACTCCCCCCTTCCATATCCTCAAATAAAATATACAATTCCTGACAAACACTTGAGAAACCACTGGTTTCAACCCCCCAGGAATTCCTTTGGCCTATTTCCCTTCCCCATCGGAGGGGAGTGGGGGTAGGGGAGAGAATGTTGGGCTAAGAAAAACAACATACATTCAGATTAATCTTGGTGCCGTGTGTAATTTGTTGCTGCTATAGATATGGACTCGGAATGTCCACCAGTCACAGATTTGTTACTTGGAAATCATTTTATTTACTTCCAAACAATAAATCACTGGTATCCGTAAGAAAAAGCTGCTGCAAGGATGCCGGCTGGAATGTGCAAGCTATTTGGCACCACTCACATCAAAGCAGGAAACGGCATTCAGTTCAGCACATGCATGAGGTAATGTCAGCTCTCTACAGTCTTGAGGATTCAGGTTTAATGGATATCATATGGTGGAGAAATGTGCTTTAAAGTTGGCCCCCTTTGCTTGCTCGCTTAATAACTAATAACTCTTGGTGGCTGTCCAAGATATGTATACAAAATGCCCTTTAGGCTGCCAGGATTTTTACTGCTTAAAGGTTCCCCGCCCCCTCAAAAGCATGGAATTGATACTAGTAGCAAGTAGAACATACATTTTGCAAAACTAAGTACTGATACTTAGAGAAGCTGAAACCAAACACTGGCTCCGAAGGCATGACTTTGATTCATACAAAAGGCTGATGCCATCCCAGGAAAATTTATCGTTACTTTTTCAGACAACTGACCTCATGCTGTTTGAGAAATTGCATTTGAAACTGGACTGGAGTGGACTAGCAGTTGAACCTGGATTCATTCGTCCCAGGATTGTATAAGGAAACTTGATGAAAGGATGAAACTTGATAAAAGGATGCAACAGGGTGAGCTCCCACTGCTCTGTCCCAGCTTCTGCCAACTGAGCAGTTTGAAAGCACACCAGCGCAAGTAGATCAATAGGTACTGCTGTGGTGGGAAGGTAAATAGTGTTTCCGTGCACTCTGGCTTCCGTCACCGTGTTTTTTGTGCCAGAAGCAGTTTAGTCCTGCTGGCCACATGACCCAGAAAGCTGTCTGTGGACAGACGCTGGCACCCTCAGCCTGAAAAGTGAGATGAGCTCCACAACCCCATAATCACCTTTGACTGGACTTAACTGTCTAGGGGTCCTTTACCTTTTCAAGTCCATGCGCCCACATGCAGCTGGATCAGAGTGTGAGCTTGAATGTCGACTGCATTTGAAATGACTAATTGGTTCAGTAAAAGCATCCTTCTGCTCATACTATATTTTCCTTTAAGAACAAAAAATTGTTTGCTAGGAAAGTAATAAATAAGGCAGCCAGCACAGATAGATAGGAGTGTTTTTCCCTGATAAGAATGTTATCTACGCAGTAGACAATCAGTCTCAAGATGCAGGAACTGTGACTTCTCGGCTTTTTGTCTTAAAACTGTCTGGCTAACTGATCAGTAAGGTCTACATATTTGTTTTTGTTTTGTATATGAGCATGCGCATTTACTTTTACTTATTCAAATATATCATTATAGTTCTGGGTGAAACTCTCTGGCAAAGATTAAGAAATGAAAACCAAATAAATATTGTTACTCACTCTCCACTTCCTTGAACAGTGAGAACTTCCAGGGACAGATCTTGTGGCAGAATGGTGAAGGAAAGTTTCCTTTGGACGAGATATTGATGCTGTCTTTGTAATATTTGCTTTACTCACAAATATGCAGCCAGAAGGGGAATAAACTCCATCAGCAATCATATGATAATTTAAGATGTCTGGATTTGGTGGCCCACGAAAGACTGTGGGTTCTAGTGTGCTACACACCATGTACACCCTATAATAGGGCCACCAATCTGCAACAGGTCTATATTGTAATCAGAGGAAAGGATTTTAGCATCCCAAAATCAATGTTAAGCTCCGAAACCTATTTGTCTGCAGTTTGGCAAGGTTCTTACCCAGGGCATCTCTCACATGTCAGCAATTTTCACACCAATTAACCACAAAATATTAGGAGAAGTTAAGTGATTCCTTTTTTGCACACCCCAAAACTATAATGGCTACATTTGTAGGAAAACCGCAACAGTCTTCCTTCTAAAATTTGGCAGGATTCATGCTCTAAGAGGGGAATTCTGCTTGCAAATTTCATTCAATTACGTCCTAACCTGGGCATTTTCAGATGCCCAGCAAAAAGGAAGAAGAAGAAAGTCCTAGACCAATTTACCTGTATTTGGGCAGGAAATTCTGCTTATAGTCCTTCTATACAGTCAATTGAAACAAGAAAGTCCCTGCTTACAGGCTTGCAATCTTAAAAAAGGGAAAATGCCACACAAGGGACATTCTCTGTTCTGACCACCCTCCTTCTCCTTCAACTCCACTGACAACCAAACCCCTACTTAAAATGGAGCGGACTTAAAAAGAGGACAGTCCTCTGTAAACTACTGTCAGGGAACTGACATCGGAGCTAGAGGCGGAGGGAAGGCTCTCAAATGATGCTGGAGAAGGGCCCAGCAGGGAGAGAGGCAGCTCAGCAGATGGGGAAGCAATTCAGCGCAACACCAGGAATAAAGAGGGGCAGATGGGGGAATCGGCGAGAGGGCTCCCAGACTCTTCACCGGACACCAGCGGGGAGAGCACGGGTCCTCCGCTACCCACGCCCTCCCTGCGCAGAAGACTTCCGCGCAGAGAGAGTAGGAGGAGACTGGGTGTCAAACAACTTTTATGTTGGAAAAGGTTTAAGAAACGCCCACTGACGGATTCTGCTAGCGACTGAGGCAGCCATGAAGTGAAGGGCTGTCCAGACTGAAAGGTTTAACAAGGCAACAAAGCCAGGAGAGGCGGCAACTTACGCACGAGCAACCCATACTCTTTACAACTACAATTCACAGCTGCCCCAAATAAAACAATGCAATGTGGAGTGCTTCTGTTCCCTGTTCTAGCCAGCCAGTCTGCCCCTGTTCCAGAATACTCCATTCCGTTTATTGGTTGGCATGTCTGTCTCAGGAGACGGTGGAGGAATGCACCTTCATGGGTGAAGTCAAATTGTCTGAGAGTTATAGCACCAGCCTTTACTGCAGAGTCTGATATGGGAGAGACGTGTTTTATTACCACTGGGGCAGATGAAGGTGTCTGGTTGTGCTGACATAGGTGTACCGTGGTGTTTCTTCTCTCTCCACTCCTCCCAGCAGTCATTTCTCCTCTAGTCACTCCTGTGGATACATAACCTGACTGTCTGCAGGCACTGTGGTCGTCTGCAAGGGATTTCTACACAGTGGGGTTAATATTGCCAGCCTTCGTGTCATGTTTGTGCACATCTTGCCAGCTCCCCATTGAGCATGACCTTGAGAATCCTGCCCATCTTCCATTCTGTGGACATGACCATTCCATTCATTTCTCAATGATCTTCCATTCTCTGCAGATTTATGTCATCACTCTAGAGCAGGCATGGCCAAACTTGGCCCTCCAGCTATTTTGGGACTACAATTCCCATCATCCCTGACCACTGGTCCTGTTAGCTAGGGATGATGGGAGTTGTAGTCCCAAAACAGCTGGAGGGCCAAGTTGGGCCATACCTGTTCTAGAGCCTCTGAGCATACTTAGTCCTCACTAGGCTATTTTTGTTTTTATTGTGGGGATCCCCCTGTCTTAGGGTGCTTTCCTAAATATTTTGTTTGAATTCCTAAAACCTTGGGGTACTCCAAGCCTGCTAATACCTGCCACTTGTTCATGAGTGGTGCCGTTTTGGCTACACAGGGCATAGCACTTATGCATGAATGTTGGAAAGAGATGGATTGACTTTGAATTGAACAGCATTCAGTACTCCAAACAAGAAAAAGAGAGAGTATGGTATTTGATGAGAGGAAGTGAAATAATCCAAGCCAGCATGAGACACTACCACAAATATGACAAACTCAGTAGGAATCTTAATGGAATCATGATTCTATTGCCACCAGTTCCTCAATTAGTGCAAGCAGGTTTTTCCCCTTAAATTAAGATAGCTCCAGATAAATATTTCCAATTTTCCCACAAAAGAATAAGAATTGTGGTTAGAATAAGCACGCAAAGAAGCTGTTAAAGAAGTCTATTAATTTTTATGCATAGTAAATGTAAACCACAAGTCATTTTAAGTATCCTATAAAGCATTCCTTCATAAATCCAAAAGATTTAAGATTTAAGATTCTTCCCAATAAGGGACTCTAAATCACTGCTATGTATATATATGTAACATAGACATAATTTTCTGGACCCAACATAGGCTTCAGACTAGCTTACAGTTATGTTATAAAGCCTCCAGCCACTCTAGGGAAATTAGGAATGAACTTTAGAAGGGGGAAATGTAAACGTTCTAAGAAAAGTCACTGTAGAGTAGCAAAGAAGACTTTGAATGTTTCCAGGAATGCTTTCTTCCAAACTGCCTATCAGGCAAGATTGTCTCCAATTGCTTGCCCACATGAGGTGAGCATCATGAGCAAACTTCCCCTTCTCATTCACCTGGCAACTTCACCCACCTGTGACATCACTTGAGTGACATGGTGTACCATGCCCAACTCTGTGGGCGTAATGTTCAAGAGGACATCAGAGAGACTATGGTCAGAGGTGGTATGCCTCATAATACCTGTAGGCTTTCTTTAGGCATCTGGTCAGCCACTATGGGGAAAAGGACATTGGACTACATGGATCTTTGACCTGATCCAATGGAGTTCTTCTTATGATCTGGCCCGCTAGAGCTCATAGAGATGACCAGACTATCCCAAATTAAGTTCTCTCACCAAAGGGCAGGAACATATGAACATAGGATCTCATACCATGTCAGATCCTTGGTCCTTCTCAGTATTGTCTACCATAGCTTGCAGTGGCTCTCCAGGGTTTCAGGCAGACAGCTCCCCTAGCTGTACCTGGAGATGCCATGGATTGAACCTGGAATATTGTGGCCATCACTGTTAGCCTGGACAGCTCAGTTGGTTAGAGCATGGAACTGGTAACACCAAGGTTGCAGGTTTGATCCCTGTATGGGACAGCTGCATGTTCCTACATTGCAGGGGGTTAGACCATTTGATCCTCTGAGTCCCTTCCAGTTCTATGATTCTATGATCCCATAAAGGATCATTACCATAACACAACTGTCTTTTTTTTTTTTAAAATGATATTTATTAAAGTTTCACAAAAATACAGAAAACAAAGAAAAAAGTATAAATTACAGCAAAAAAGTAAAAAGTAAGAAAAAACATACAAAAAAAAACAATTAAAACACAATGATGTTCCATAACCTATCTTCTCCTTACTCTTATTTCCCAGACTCCTCATACCTCCTTCTTTGTATTCCAATTCAGTTTGTTGGTTCAGCAAATCTCACTATTAATCTTTTACCCAATTGTTAACCTTTTTTTTCATGTCTCTTAAAGCATCACCCGCTAAAACCTCCTTAATTTCTATCCAATATCCTCTAAAAGTTCCTTAATTTTACAATATTTCTGTAGTAGTCCTAAATTTTTTCCAATCTTCTTTCACCGACTTTCTCCCTGGTCTCGGATTCCACAATATTTCCAACAATTCCATAGTCAATCACTCTTCATCTGTCATTTTCCAAAGTGGGTAGATCTTCTATGTCTTCCAATACTTCTACATAAGTATTCTTGCCAAGTGCTGTAGCATACATGAAAAGGTTCTGTCTCTTGGCACTGTTACCGATAATGCCCAAGAGAAAGCCTTCTGGTTTCTTCTAAAGGCATATTTAAATACCTTTTCAGTTCATTGTATATCATTTCAGAAAGCCTTAATCTTGGGCACGTCCACCAAAGGTGAAAGAATGTACCTCAGTTTCTTACATTTCCAACATTTATTATCGGGCAAATGATAAATTTTTGTGTTTGATCAGTCATGTACCACCTGTATATCATTTTCATAATATTCTCTTAAGGCATTACATGCCAGAAACTTCACACTGTGGTCCATAACTGTTCCCAGTCAGCGAACATAATGTTATGTCCAACATCCAGCCCATTTAATCATAGCAGATTTCACCGTTTCATCCTGAGTATTCCATTTCGCTTGAGCAAGTTATACATTCTTGACAAATTTTTAGTTTTGGGTTTAACAATTCTGTTTCTAATTTTGACTTTTCCACTTGGAAGCCTATTTTCTTATCCAAGCATGCCTCCATTATCTGATAGTAGAGCCAACTTCTCACTTTATTTTTAATTTTTCAAAACTCTGCAGTCTCAATTTATCTCCTTCTTGTCTAAAATTTTCAATATGCTGCCATTTGGCCTCCATATTGAGCCTTTTCAGAGCTTTGCTTCTCCATTGATGATACAGCCACACTGGGAGTTTTATTTTCCAATAAGTCTTTGTATCTTATCCAGACATTAAAAACATGCTTTTCAACAATAGTGATTAAATGCTAAGTTGATTTAAGACATAAAGTGAGGCAGCATCTAGTAATACTTTCATAAACCCTAATCAAACAAAGCTTTTTGTGAAAGAAAGGCTTTTCAAAAACATAAAATATAGATTTATATAAAAGTTTTATAACTCAGGCAACACCTCTTCCATGTTACACACATTTTCTTTAATTTATTTCTGGGCTTGCCTGCATAGACAAATCAAATATCTTCCCACCTAATGTTAATGTCTATCTTGATCTCACAATTTAAGAATGTCTAAAACAAAATAGATTCTAAAATACATCCATCTCTATCATGGCAATAATGCCCATAAATTCTAGAGTTTCAAATTTATCAAATTTCTAAATCTTTTCACTTCCATTCAACATTTTCGTAATTATCTTAAAATGTTCCCATTTTGGCTGTCATATTAATCCTCAAGTATTTCACTTTCTTTACCACATCTAACTCTGTCTCATTCTGAAACCTCTCTCTTCAATCGGGTGTTAAGTTTTTCTCTAAAACCTTAGTTTTAACTTGTTCAATTTAAAACCTGCCACCTGACCAAATTCCTGAATTGACTTTAAAACTTTAGTACTAGATTCTGGCTCCTGTAACGTCAATACTAGGTCATCTGCAAATGCTCTCAATTTGTAATTGTTTAGCTCCGACCTGTATGCCCTTAACCAACCGGGTCCTTCTAATCATATTTAGCAAAACCTCCAGGACCGATATATAAAAGCAGTGGGAAATTGGGCACCCTGTCGTGGTCCCTTTCTATCTTAAATTGTAATCCACATTATTTACAATTAATTTAGCTTTGTCTGTGAGTATATTGCACCTTAGTACCATTTTCAAACCTTGGCCTACCCCATCCCATGCAGATTCTTCTTCATAAAACCCAAGAGATATTATCAAAAGCTTTCTCCGTCAACAAATATCAATAATTGCTTTGGTGTTTATATTCACTTCTAATTTTTCCAAAATATCAAATTATATTCCCAAGTTATTATCAGACAGATGTCTTCCCGGGAGAAAGCCCGCGCTTGGTCTTTATGAATCTCTTCATCAATATTTTTCAATCTTTGGCCAAATGTTCGCAAAATTTTGTAATCCACATTAAGTACCCATATAGGGCGACAGTTCTTAAGCTGAGTCTTTCAGCTTCTGCTTTGTATAAGGTGATGTGTACGCTCTTCCACGATTTCCTGGTGCCCTTTTCTCCAGTATTTCATTGCAGACTTCCTTCAAAGGTTGCAGTAACCACTCTTTCAAAGATCTATAGTATCTGGAAGTCAGCCCGTCCGTCCTGAGATTTGCCCAATTGCATATTTTGTATGGCACCTTCTACTTCCTGTTCAGATATTTTATAGTTCAGCATTAATTTACTTTCTTGAGAGATTTTTTGTAGGCCATTTGTCTTCAAAAATTGGTCTATGTCCATTTCCATAACACAACTGTCAATGAGTAGCGGAATGGTCCAAAGAGGTCTACTGAAAAGACTATGTTGTGGCAAGTTACATTTTTCATTCTAGGGTGTCAAAAAGCAGACTGTGTTTAGAGATCATCAGGTTCTAATTTCTTTGTCTCTGGCTAGAGACAGTAGATTTTGAGACAGTTTAATGTGGTACTCTCATTGCCCATGATGTACACAATCATTTCTTTCATTCAAATTCGGGTCAAATGGATTTTGCAGGTTTCTGAAGCATGAGAAGAACTTCAAACTCTTAGTCCAAAGATGAAGGTAAGACAGAAAGAAAAAAATAACCCCGAATGCTTGTACTGGCATGAGCAGCAAAGGTCCTATCACCTTTAACTCTAAAAAAAAAAAAGGAGCAAAAATTCTGCCTATTGCAGCCTTAAAAATATGGCTGCTACCTTAGACTGCACCTTAACTCTTTAGTAGCCGTTCTGAATTGAAGCACTAGTGCAATCCTTCAGGAACACTGTACAGTAGTTACAAAAGGAGAGACTTTGCTAGATCTCCCACTTTCCACAGAGGAGGTTTGGAACAGGTGCCTGGGATTTTCTATTCAACTTATGCTATGAATATTTTATTGAATGATAATTTTCTTCTTATGATTCAGCACCACAGTCTACTCCTGTAGCAGGTTCCTTCACTTTTTAAAAACTCCTTTATACTCAATATCTAAGCAGGAAATAAATCAGCTAAATGTGAAATGTTCAGAGTACTTGTAGTAATCAATCCACCCTCCAGATGCTGCTGGACTACAATGCCTATCATCCTTGACCACTTGCCATGCTAGATAGGCTGATGGGAGTTGTAGTCTGGCAGCTGGAGGACCACAGCTTCTCCATTCCTCTTGGAAAGTATTTCTGTTCAGAAGCAAGTTGCATTGAGTCCAATGAGACTTTATCCCAGGTAAGTTTGTATAGAGAGCCGGCCCACTCATGAGGTGAGGTGAAGCAGCTGCCTCAGGTGGTGGAAGTGCAAGAGGCAACATCCCCATGGGTGACCTGCCACCCCAGCACTTCTGCCACTGCTCGAGCACCCCTGATCTTGCCGAGAGAGACCAGCAGCAAAGGCTTGCAGAATCTCAGTAAGAAGGAGACATTCTGGTGCGTGGTGTTGCTGCTGGTCTCCCCAACACCCAGGGATGGAGAGAGACCAGCAACAAAGCCTTGTGGAATGGGATAGCCAGCCCCTGTTTGTATAGGATTGCAGCCAGATAAAGTTGGTTTAGACCACTTCCCTACACAGGTGTTGAAGATGCAAAGAGTATAAAGTAGAATAAGAGAGAGGCCTGAATCAGAAAAATATGCATAAGGACAACCAATATATTCACTTCATCACTGGCAGACTAACCTTCATCATGGGTCATGTCTCATTTGTTAAAGAACATTCAGCCACACAGACTGAAGAACTCTGGGGACAAACTAACAGCTGCAGGAAGTGACACTTCCCACATGGTTAGAGCCCTATGATTGTGAATAAGACAGAAATGAATTTGTTCCTTGCATTGAACCATCCTGGTGGTAATAGGCTGTAATATACATTAAAGTCTTATATTCGTGGGGGTCCTGTCTCTTATAGGAGATGTAAAGCAGAGGTTCTGATTAAAATGGGGCGGGGGGAATAGATATCCACCACATTTTTCTTAGCATCGTGGCTGGCTTCCAGTAATTACTGCAGCTGAGTAAACACAAGAACTTTTTGGGGGGACATGATAATCCATTTTGAGCACAAATGTTGGTTTATTCACGTTTTTGATGAAAACGTCGGTGGTTGAACGCCTTCCCTCATTCTTTCTTTTGGGTTCTGTCCAGTATGAATCATGACTCTAATATGAAAATAATTGTTTCAATGTTCATTTATAGACTCATTTAAATCATATCTAAAGAAGAAAGGAAGGGCAGATTTACCAAAGATGTTTAAATTCTCATTGTGGGGTACCAAGATGAAGATCATATGGCTAAACGTCACTGAGAATTCAGTTATGTGGTCTACTATTTGCAGTGATATTTTTTGACTCCAGTTAAATGGAAGCTTTAAAACTCAGTTGGAGTTTGGTTGTGGGTGACATCTCCTTATCATGTGGGACCTGAGTTTCTGAAAGGTTTGAACACTTGACATTCTAGCTAGGTTAAATGGAAACACATTAAAATGCTTTGC